ACTATACAAATAGCTGATATTGGGCTCTATCAACTGGTAAAGTAAATATTGAGATGACTATACAAATAGCTGATATTGGGCTCTATCAACTGGTAAAGTAAATATTGAGATGACTATACAAATAGCTGATATTGGTCTCTATCAACTGGTAAAGTAAATATTGAGATGACTATACAAATAGCTGATATTGGTCTCTATTAACTGGTAAAGTAAATATTGAGATGACTATACATATAGCTGATATTGGTCTCTATCAACTGGTTAAGTAAATATTGAGATGATTATACATATAGCTGATATTGGGCTCTATCAACTAGTAAAGTAAATATTGAGATGACTATACCTATAGCTGATATTGGTCTCTATCAACTGGTAAAGTAAATATTGAGATGGCTATACAAATAGCTGATATTGGTCTCTATCAACTGGTAAAGTAAATATTGAGATGACTATACAAATAGCTGATATTGGGCTCTATCAACTGGTAAAGTAAATATTGAGATGACTATACAAATAGCTGATATTGGGCTCTATCAACTGGTAAAGTAAATATTGAGATGACTATACAAATAGCTGATATTGGGCTCTATCAACTGGTAAAGTAAATATTGAGATGGCTACACAAATAGCTGATATTGGTCTCTATCAACTGGTAAAGTAAATATTGAGATGACTATACAAATAGCTGATATTGGGCTCTATCAACTGGTAAAGTAAATATTGAGATGACTATACAAATAGCTGATATTGGTCTCTATCAACTGGTAAAGTAGATATTGAGATGACTATACAAATAGCTGATATTGGGCTCTATCAACTGGTAAAGTAAATATTGAGATGACTATACAATTAACTGATATTGGTCTCTATCAACTGGTAAAGTAAATATTGAGATGACTATACAAATAGCCGATATTCTGCTCTATCAACTAGTAAAGAAGATATTGAGATGACTATACAAATAGCTGATATTGGTCTCTATTAACTGGTAAAGTAAATATTGAGATGACTATACAAATAGCTGATATTGGTCTCTATTAACTGGTAAAGTAAATATTGAGATGGCTACACAAATGGCTGATATTGGGCTCTATCAACTGGTAAAGTAAATATTGAGATGACTATACAAATAGCTGATATTGGGCTCTATCAACTGGTAAAGTAAATATTGAGATGACTATACAAATAGCTGATATTGGGCTCTTTCAACTGGTAAAGTAAATATTAAGATGACTATACAAATAGCTGAAATTAAGCTCTATCAACTGGTAAAGTAGATATTGAGATGACTATACAAATGGCTGATATTGGGCTCTATCAACTGGTAAAGTAGATATTGAGATGACTATACAAATAGCTGATATTGGGCTCTATCAACTGGTAAAGTAAATATTGAGATGACTATACAGATAGCTGATATTGAGCTCTATCAGCTGGTAAAGTAAATATTATGACGACTATACAGATAGCTGATATTGGGCTCTATCAACTGGTAAAGTAAATATTGAGATGACTATACAGATAGCTGATATTGAGCTCTATCAACTGGTAAAGTAAATATTATGACGACTATACAGATAGCTGATATTGAGCTCTATCAACTGGTAAAGTAAATATTATGACGACTATATAAATAGCTGATATTGGTCTCTTTTTGAAAGGATGATACACTTTATTTCCTGTAATTAAAACTCAAGCCTACGAACTTTGACCCCGGGAAGATGTTTGGTGCAGCTCTACCTTTCTCCAACTTGACGATTTGACTGGTGACATCTACCCGTTAATTTGCATCAAATATGCATGTTTCGCTGATCTTTCGTTAATTTCGGGATGTTTCCGTTTGATATATAGATGAGAACTTGTAATGGTAATCAATAGACTGTGTAATACATGGACAATAAAGCCCGAGTATGACGTCATTATTATTTGAATATCTATATAATACTCCTCCAAATAAGGAAATAAGAAATTGAGGATATTTTTGACCAGTTGTGTCAGTGTGTATAGTATTATAAGGTAAGGCTGAAATGTAGAATAACTTTATTAACTTAAGTCTAATTAAAATTCGAGAAGAAGAAGCGAACTAATTTTAATTGTGACACATATTGCATTTTTTCTTTAACGTTTTTAAGAAATAAATTACTTAAAATGTGTGTTCGAGAAAAACCATGGTCTATTGTCATCAATTTGTTGTTGTAGCATATTTGGATAACTGGACATAAAAGCCAAACGTGTCTTAAAGGAAAAGTAGGTGGAGCTTAGGTATACAATAGACAGTCTATTGTGATGTTATTATGTGATTTACACGGCTGAAGCACCACCCCTTTATTTAATACTCACGACTTGCACAAGATTTAATTGCATTGGATAAAATGGTAACGTCATTAATTTCGTAATATCATCAATCTGTCAATCATTTTATATAAGCTACAAGTCATATATCCCACATGTCTTACTAATTAACATATTTAAAGGAACGGATGCGCCATTTTTGAGGGGTTGATTTGAGTCTTGAATATATGTAAATAGTATTCTAGAGTAAAACCACATAAATTCTTTCAAAAATATCTCAAACTAGGAATTTATTTTTCGATTTCTAAAGATGTCTTTTCTATATATGACAATGTATCAAGAGAAGACGACTCGCCTTTTTTTTTAAATTTCAAGCGCGGATAACTCTGGACTCTGACGATGATCTGTGAATACTATTACTGATTGGATTGGGTAATACATTCTCGTTTCTGACTAGGATATGATTGGTTAAAAAATGTTGCCACTGTCCTTTAAATCATGTTTAGATATTTTAAGTCATAAGAACCGTGGTATATATACTACTCAGAATGTTGTAATGTTGATTTGAGATGGGATTAAATTCCTTCATTGTATCCATTTCTCAAGTATTCTCTTCTCAAAAGCTTACTTTTCCACTCATTTTCCTTTTCTTTTGAGAAATTTAATAATTAGCGCCCAGTAAATATTCACTGTTAAAATAGTGCTCAATACATATTCATTCAGTTCATCTCAGTATATATGTCGAGTTTCTCGGACTGCAATGTGATTTCATCTTGATTTGAAATACCACTGTTAAAATAGAGCTCAATACATCAATTGTAGAGAGATATAGAAATACCACTGTTAAAATAGTGCTCAATACATCAATTGCAGAGTGATATAGAAATACCATTGTTAAAATAGTGTTCAATACATCAATTGTAGAGCGATATAGAAATACCACTGTTAAAATAGTGCTCAGTACATCAACTGTAGAGATATATAGAAATACCACTGTTAAAATAGTGCTCAATACATCAATAGTAGAGCTATATAGAAATGCTAGTGTTACAACAGTGCTTAGTACATCAATTGCAGAGCGATATAGAAATACCACTGTTAAAATAGTGCTCAATACATCAATTATAGAGTGATATAAAAATACCACTGTTAAAATAGTGCTCAATACATCAATTGTAAAGCGATATAGAAATACCACTGTTAAAATAGTGCTCAATACATCAATTATAGAGTGATATAGAAATACCACTGTTAAAATAGTGCTCAGTACATCAATTGTAGAGCGATATAGAAATACCATTGTTAGAATAGTGCTCAGTACATCAATAGTAGAGATATATAGAAATACCACTGTTAAAATATTGTTCAATACATCAAGTGTAGAGCTATATAGAAATACCAGTGTTAAAACAGTGCTCAGTACATCAATTGTAGAGTGATATAGAAATACCAGTGTTAAAATATTGTTCAATACATCAATTGTAGAGCGATATAGAAATACCACTGTTAAAATAGTGCTCAATACATCAACTGTAGAGCGATATAGAAATACCACTGTTAAAATAGTTCTCAATACATCAAGTGTAGAGATATATAGAAATACCACCGTTAAAATAGTACTCAATACATCAATTGTAGAGGGATATAGAAATATTACTGTTAAAATAGTGTTCAATACATCAATTGTAGAGATATATAGAAATACCACTGTTAGAATAGTACTCAATACATCAACTGTAGAGCGATATAGAAATACCACTGTTAAATAGTGCTCAATACATCAATAGTAGAGTGATATAGAAATACCATTGTTAAAATAGTGTTCAATACATCAATTGTAGAGAGATATAGAAATACCACCGTTAAAATAGTACTCAATACATCAATTGTAGAGCGATATAGAAATACCACTGTTAAAATAGTGCTCAATACATCAATAGTAGAGTGATATAGAAATACCATTGTTAAAATAGTGTTCAATACATCAATTGTAGAGCGATATAGAAATACCACTGTTAAAATAGTGCTCAATACATCAATAGTAGGGTGATATAGAAATACCACTGTTAAAATAGTGCTCAATACATCAATTGTAGGGTGATATAGAAATACCATTGTTAAAATAGTGCTCAATACATCAATTGTAGGGTGATATAGAAATACCATTGTTAAAATAGTGCTCAGTACATCAATTGTAGAGACTTTATATTTTTTTAATAACAGAACCTATGACGTTACTACTCAGAGTTTTAAGCTATTCGTCAGACAGCTGTTGGCAGGCTGAAAATATATCAGTTGTCCGAATTTCGCATTGCATGGAACTTTGAGTTATAACAACATTTTTCAGGTTCTGTTTAAAGGATCCTTGATTATTAAGAACTATATGATTTTAATAGTAACACATGTGAATTGGTGAATCAGGTATTGGGTCAATAACCTATCTGACAGTGCTAAAACAGTCTGTTGTGAGCCCTGGTTCCCAACCTGTGGTGTTTTCACCCCCTAGGGTTCTGGGACTGTCAGGGGTATGGTGAACTAGTGTAGGAGAAGAATTTATTTTGAATTGAGAGAGCACCTCTGTGTGAAACAAATTTTGGGGGTGTAATTGCTCCAGGGGTATAAAGGCTGAGAAAGGTTGAGAACCTCTGGTCTGAAGAGAATTATTATTTTTTTTAACAGTGTATTGACCTTCATTTTTGTTCTTTCAGACAATCAACATGAATTCCAGAATCATCTCTTTATTGTGTATGTATATCACCATAGTAACCGTATCCTGTGGCTATATTGGATCTGGATCCGGATCATACGGAGGTGGAGGTTTTGGAGGCGGATATCCCATGATGTCATATCCTACTTTTGGAGGTTACGGCAAAATGATGGGCGGTTACGGAGGATTTGGAAACGGAAATTTAATGGGACTGTATGGAAAAATGGGCGGCGGCTATGGTGGATACGGAATGGGTGGATACGGCGGAAATTTTGGCTACGGTAGCGGTGGTGGATACGGTGGAATGGGATACGGAAATTTTGGATATGGTAGCGGTGGTGGATACGGTGGAATGGGAGGAGGGTATATTGGGAAAGGGATGATGGGTGGAAATGGAGGATATCTGAGAGGAGGTGGTAGCAGTTGGTAACCTTGACAGATTGTGATAGTTTTCGTTTATAACAGTAATTAATTTTGATAAAAATTTATTGTTTATATCTTAATCTTTCGTATAACATCACTCGCAAATTGCATGTATCAAGCATCGAGATGCCACGTGTTTCGTCAAAGCTTGGGAATTCAATGAAGTCGCTCATATCTATTACCTTACGACGTTGTTTTCTTGTTTCGTACTAAAGATAAGACTATTTTCTGTCTATGAATTGAGTTGCAATGAAGTAAAGTTTTATTTCGTGACGTCTCACGTTCGATGTCGTGACGTTTCACGTTTAACTTCTCTACTTCTGACATAACTAATTGACCTCTGATGTAGGTATGTACGTGATGATTTAATTTTCAACGAATCTTGTAATGGAGCAATCGTTATGACGCTGACCTTTGGAATCTCTGTTTCTAGAGTCTGATAGATGAACAAGCAGGTACACTGATCGTGTGGATGAAAAAAAAAAACACTAAATATTCAGCAGTAAAATTTATTCCAAGATATTTATAAAATATTGATTATACAATGATAATTATGCATAGATAATTTATCAAAAATATTATAACATAACAAAATAATAATATTCAACATTCATCTCTTGGGTGGAACAAGGTTGGGTGTAATTGACACGCAATCAAATCACCCTTAACTACACAAATAAACTCTTCCAGTTATACATATACTGTTACATATTAATAATAATATGCATGCGTGGAAGATTTTATTAGAAAGTCGAGGGATGTCAAGTAGATGACCGACATACTGTATGGGAGTGAGATAAACAATTAAAATGCATTGCTTATCGCTCTCCTAATGCTAGCTTCATAGCTATAAAAGACATAAATGACATAAATGTTTATGAAAACAGATAGATGTATATAGTTTACCTTCATAAATCCACGTCAGGTTTTAACACAATATCAAATTTCATGGCCTAAAAAGCCAATTTTCCATTTCACACAAATATATACAAAAATATCAAAACGAGACAATTGATATAAAATATACCCTGTTTACAATCCATAGAAAACTAACAAATAAACCTTATCATTTTACAGTTTCTTTTCTCAACCAACTGTTCAAACTTTATCTGATTCAAATGTCCAAACATTATCAAATCAAATGATCAAACTTTATCTCAATCAAATGTCCAAACTTTATCCAAATCAAATGTTCAAACTTTATCCAAACCAAATGTTCAAACTTTATCTAAATCAAATGTTCAAACTTTATCTAAATCAAATGTTTCAAACATTATCTAAATCAAATGTTCAAACTTTATCTCAATCAAATGTTTCAAACATTATCTAAATCAAATGTCCAAACTTTATCCAAACCAAATGTTCAAACTTTATCTAAATCAAATGTTCAAACATTATCTAAATCAAATGTTCAAACATTATCTAAATCAAATGATCAAACTTTATCTCAATCAAATGTCCAAACTTTATCCAAATCAAATGTTCAAACTTTATCCAAACCAAATGTTCAAACTTTATCTAAATCAAATGTTCAAACTTTATCTAAATCAAATGTTTCAAACATTATCTAAATCAAATGTTCAAACTTTATCTCAATCAAATGTTTCAAACATTATCTAAATCAAATGTCCAAACTTTATCTTAATCAAATGTCCAAACTTTATCTCAATCAAATGTCCAAACATTATCTCAATCAAATGATCAAGCTTTATCTCAATCAAATGTCCAAACTTTATCTCAATCAAATGTCCAAACTTTATCTCAATCAAATGTTCAAACATTATCTAAATCAAATGTTCAAACTTTATCTCAATGAAATGTTCAAATATTATCTAAATCAAATGTTCAAACTTTATCTAAACCAAATGTTTCAAACTTTATCTAAACCAAAAGTTCAAACTTTATCTAAACCAAATGTTTCAAACTTTATCCAAATCAAATGTTCAAACTTTATCTCAATCAAATGTTCAAACTTTATCTAAATCAAATGTTCAAACTTTATCTCAATCAAATGTTTCAAACATTATCTAAATCAAATGTTCAAACTTTATCTAAATCAAATGTTTCAAACTTTATCTAAACCAAATGTTCAAACATTATCTCAATCAAATGTTTCAAACTTTATCTCAATCAAATGTTCAAACTTTATCTCAATCAAATGTTCAAACTTTATCTAAATCAAATGTTCAAACAATACCTAAATCAAATGTTCAAACTTTATCTCAATCAAATGTTCAAACTTTATCTCAATCAAATGTTTCAAACATTATCTCAATCAAATGTTCAAACTTTATCTCAATCAAATGTTCAAACTTTATCTAAACCAAATGTTTCAAACTTTATCTAAATCAAATGTTCAAACTTTATCTCAATCAAATGTTTCAAACTTTATCTCAATCAAATGTTTCAAACATTATCTAAATCAAATGTTCAAACATTATCTAAATCAAATGTTTCAAACTTTATCTCAATCAAATGTTCAAACATTATCTAAATCAAATGTTCAAACATTATCTAAATCAAATGTTTCAAACTTTATCCAAAGCAAATGTTCAAACATTATCTCAATCAAATGTTTCAAACTTTATCTCAATCAAATGTTCAAACTTTATCTCAATCAAATGTTCAAACTTTATCTAAATCAAATGTTCAAACATTATCTAAATCAAATGTTCAAACATTATCTAAATCAAATGTTCAAACTTTATCTCAATCAAATGTTCAAACTTTATCTAAATCAAATGTTCAAACTTTATCTCAATCAAATGTTCAAACAGTATCTAAATCAAATGTTCAAACATTATCTAAATCAAATGTTCAAACATTATCTAAATCAAATGATCAAACTTTATCTAAATCAAATGTTCAAACATTATCTAAATCAAATGTTCAAACATTATCTAAATCAAATGATCAAACATTATCTAAATCAAATGTTCAAACATTATCTAAATCAAATGTTCAAACATTATCTAAATCAAATGATCAAACATTATCTAAATCAAATGTTCAAACATTATCTAAATCAAATGTTCAAACATTATCTAAATCAAACTTTATCTTATATACTTTTATTCCATCAGATGTCTGTGGTTCCTGCAATTCCACTAAAACTAAGTGCTTGATGACGTCACGTGTGTGATAAAGCATATTTTGAGATTAGATACTCCAGTGAATACAGCTAATCAGCGCACTCAACACCCCTCAACTTTCTATTGAACTCTTCCACACATGCATACTTTCTATCAATATGTAGTTATATGTATGAATGGAAGAGCTCATTATTAGAATTTTGGAGTTGATTGTTTGTTACCTGACAATTATATCCAGCTGTGAATGATCTAGTCTGGAATATCAGGAACCACAATGATCAGAAGGAAAGATGAATGGTGTAAATAGAATCCAGAAATGTTCCTGATAAAGATAATCTTTTTTGATTCCCTTCACAAGACTTTCGAACTTTAATATTACATAATCTGAATGAGGTGACGAATAGATGAGGTGTACGGTGATGGATTATCGATATAGAAGAAAATAGAACAAGTGTTCGGACATGTTGGTACTACTATTTTCTACTATTTTCTACTATATTCCGCACCTTGCACTGCAGATCAGTGGTGCATTTGTATCATCCACATTTCCAGCATGTGATGATGTGAGGTGCTCTCTCAATTCAAAATAAAATTCTTTTACACCAGTTGGCCACACCCCTGACACACTGGTCCCACATCCCCAGGGGGTGAAAACACCCCAGCTTGGGAACCAGGGCCTTAGAAGTTTATTCTCGTCTTTATACCTGAATATAGACCATGAGGAGGTTTTCTAGTCCTGAGAAATCCCTGATCACACACTTTGTATATATAGGAACCGTGGAGTAGACCTCCAACCAGGACTGGTACCCTCTGAAATCATCAAAGGGGAGGCGCTCGGAGGGCCAATCATCAATGAAATAGTGAAAACTTTTATGTGTATTGGGGACACTGATAGCATCGATTAGCACCATTTTAATTTTCAATCAATCATCTTGAATTAGTGTAATTCCACTCTAACTAAGAGATGTATGACTAAGGCCTCTTGATTTTAGTTGCAGCTTTTGCTACAGTCTTGCCATTAATTGCTTAGTTTTAGCAGAATTACAAGAACCACTTCTGAAAGAAGTCTGATTGAATTTTGAATGGTGAAAAGTGCCATCAGTGTCACTGATAAATATAAGGTCGTAAAAACCATTTTAAAATCCCCTTTAAGGTAAATATAGAACAGGTTTTTCATGAAGTTAATCTTGCTTGCCGTTTTGAGTTGATTTGGGTGTAGTTTGACCTCCATCTTGTATTTCTGTTACAGATATAATCCATCGTAATATAACCACCACTGAAATATAAACCATACTTATGAATGCCACCGTTCGCCATTTTTTAGTGTTATTTGGGTCTTAAATAATCTGGATGTAAATAATTTGGATGTAAATAATCTTCAGAAGTACTTGAACTGTTCAAAATGTGCATAATTCCTTCAAAAATATCTCAAACTAGAAATTTCACTTTCTCTTTCTATATTATTATATCTTTCCTATATATGGCAGAAGAAAAGACAAGTCATCATTTTAACCATATAATTCTGGTCACACATGAATTTCGACGGTGAGCTGTGAACACTATTACTGATTAGCTCAGCTAACAAAATTCCTCTTTGTGAGATTTAACTATGATTGGTCAAACGAATGTCCCTTTTATCATTTATCAATGAAGTAGGAGAGAAAATAATGTTTGATGTCGTAGAATTATGTTAATGAAAGGGGTCAACCTGATAACTACATCTATTAAAGATGGTTTCCTTATTTTTAGTGTCAAATTAAGCATTTGATTAATTGGTGTTTCTAATGAATTATCATGTATTCTTAATCATATCATTATGTTCTTATTGCATATGATTAATCATAAATGTCCATTTATGTACTGTCTGGATAAACAAAAAAAACAACATTTGGACCTTTCTTGATCAGTCACTCATTGGAATTCTGCTGGTAATTCTCTCCTAATTCAGCTATTTATGAATTAATTATAGACATGTGAGACAAGGGAATCCATCTTTAACCGTTGATCTCAATAGCAATATTGGTGTGCATAGGCAATTCATCAAGATACAAATTCTAGGACATCCTAGCGTTTTGAGAATACAGGGCCAGTAATGCTAGTGAGACCAACATTTGATTTTTAATTGAATTAAAAAGACTTACCAAATAAGAAAGCTACAGATACTATAATTCTCTGAGTTGACGTACCAGCGACAATAACATTACATAGATAGTTAAACAACGGATAACATGTCAGAAAACACCAGAAAAATACATTCAATAATCCTCGAGAACTCTTGGGTATTTTATACGGAGTTCCTTTCAACTTTTCATTGTTAATAAACTCATCAAACGTCTTATCCTAAAATATAAATCATCATAGAATATAGTCACCTTGATACTTCGTTTACCAATAGATAGAGTTATGGTTCATATACAATCAAATATAGTACTGCTGAAAGAAGATTCTAAAATCAAGGGTTATGAATAACATTCTCTCATGCAATTATGACCAGTATTCTCACTCCACTGATGATAGTCTGCATTTCTGAAACATTCTTAAAGGGACAGAAGCTCCCATTTTGTTTACATATATTCAAGACCAAATCAACCCCCATAATCACCCACCGGTCCCTTTAAAGACACTTTCCAACTGAGTTTATCAGCTTGGCATCTGTTGTTATAAAAAGAAGTAAAGATAGCTTGCCAGGCAAGGTAACATACATATGCCAACTGACAGCTGTCAGAAATATAACAGTCTTTAGTTACTAAAACACTAATTTTCTCATATTCAAGAACTTTAAAGAATGATTTGTAGTTTAAAAATTATATGGCAGAGCCTCAAGAAAAGACAAGTTCTGGAAACACATGGATTTGAAGGCTCAAATTTCAACTTTCAGCTGTGAACATTATATCAGAGATTGGCTTAGCTAAAAAATTCCTGTTTCTGAGACTGATTGGTAAAAAGGGTTGACAAACCTGTCACTTATATTTTAGTGTCAAATTAAGCAAATTATTTGATTAATTCGTGTTTCTAATGAATTATCATGTATTATTAATCATATCTTTATGTTCTTATTGCATATAATTAAGAGTTTTAACCAAAAAAATACTTTTTGACCTTTCTTGATCGGTCACTCATTGGAATTCTGCTGGTAATTCTCTTCTAATTTAGATAATTATGAAGTAATTATGGATATGTGAGACAAACTGGTATTTTTCGAAGTCATTAGAACACCTCTACTTTCTATTCATATAAGTATTAGCATTTTCATTTATGAAAATAATGGAACCAATCTTTAAGACATTATATCCATCAGATACATTCAACTACCAGTACACAATAACTAACCTTATCAAGATAAAGATTTCTCAACCATTCAGCACATTCTTCATCAGTTTTACATGGAATATCTTCTAGTTTATATCTTCTGTAATATCAACAACAGAGTTTTACATCTTTCATATCTACTTCTTCCAGTGCAATGAGGGAAATTTTTCCACGACAGTTACATTAGCAACTCCTTAATGTTTTCCGACTGGCGAGGGATCTTATTGTGCACAGCATGTAGCACACTGGAGCACACAGGACCTCGATTTATGGTCCCATACGAACGACTAGAAGCTTTTTACATGACAGTCCCTCTTACATGCAATCACTGACAGGGGGGAAACAGGATTGAAAAGTCTGAAGGTATTATCTTGTGATTGAACCCTAGACCCTCAGGTTAGCAAAAAACATCTGATAAATTGATTCACAGTGCTCCCTTTGGAAATATGAACAAGATTCAGAATAAATCAGAGCAAGGGTAATAACTCTGTAACCTATTGTCAAAACACAATCTTATTAAAACTTACTTTAAAAACACATGGTGCTCAACAAATCAATGTGAAGCTGATTGAGATATAATTATGTGTAAATTAAAGTCAAGAACAATAACTCTGAATGTGATTCGTACAAACTTACTTGAAAGACAAATGGGCTATGACAGGTATACGTTGAGCAATGGTGGATATGGATGGCTTAGGATGTTTCTCAAATACTATTTCACTATCATATACAGCTGCAACTACAAATACACGTATTCAATTTTGAAATTGCCTATTCTGGCATGTAAAAGTGATTTTGAACGGCTGAGAGTAGGATGTGATTTGCTGTTTTAAATTGCTTGTAGTATCAGTAGTATGTAACCTTGGTATAAATCCTGCTAGATTACAATGGAGATCCAAAAAAAAAGAAACCTTTGCAGACCCTCCATGTCAGACTAGCCATGGGTATCTGCATTTGGAATCTTAATCCCAAAAGTTGTCCCTTCATTGAGTCAGTCTGCCCCCTATTTGTACTAAGGTTTTCCCAGTCACTGCTACATCCCTAAGACTCATTACTTAAAACTGGTCCTTGGTCATATCTCTAACAGTAGGGTCAACTGAAGTACTGTACACCAGGACCCTTATTCTAGAAAACTTGAATTTTAATGATTTTAGCGTTCTAGTCATCTGATTGGTCAATCCTAAAATTGAGTTTTATCATCCAATCAGATTACTGTATTAAGTACTGTTAAATTCTAAGAATAAGGCCCTAGGAATATAGGAACAGCTCTATTTTTCTAGATGAAAAAAAACAACTTACATTTTCCCTTCATATCTCGTACAAAGGCAGTAAAACCTTTAGGTCTAGGTAGAAGATGATGTTTCATATCAGGATAGCCTCGAGATCTAGAAACTTCTAAACTAGACTGATATTTCTCTTCTGTAAACCTTGTACCTTCTGGGTACATATACACCTGGTGATAAAACAAAAACAAGTTAGTTTATAAATATAATAGCGGCAGGTGTCACAGGCCTGGCAGACTTACTCTTTTCTAAACACCTGATGGTACTTCTCTTTGCTGGAGTCCACTACTATACAACTTTTACTCTTGATTTTGCCATAATTTGGACGAGATTTTGATTACATGAATTGTCTTGCGGGTACTAATTATTAGCTTAAGGTAAGTGGTTTTCAACTTTTTTCTTTCTATTACCCCTCTCAGGATCTTTGACCAATTGCATTACCCACATTACCCCTATGATTTTCTCTTAGGGATTCCCCACAATCTTTTTCACGTCAAAAAATATCGGGAAATCAGATATCTTGGATTTTAATAAATTCAACTGAATACTAAAAGACAAGTTGTGATACTTACTGTGACAGGATAATTATCAGGATATTCCGTTAAATTTTTTAATCCTGTTTTTAAAATAGACTTATCTTCCTGCCAGTTTCGTTTTAAAAAGATGGACTCCGAGAAATACCACGTCCAGCCCACTAACGGAACATATTTATGAGAATTCTTGGAGTAAACTTTATGATTCTGAAATAAAAGAGAAAGATTGGTTTGAACAATATTTAATAGACCAAGGGGCACCTGGAGTTAGAAGGGCTACAGAAGGGTTCCTAGAGTTCCAAAATTTATAGGGCCAATGTATCTTGACATGCTCAGAGCTGTTCAGTTCTAGTAATTAATTATACATGAGATATATTCACAATATTATATTTGGTGAACATTGTACAGTCTAACTCATTAAGGGTGGTGCTAAATACAGGTGACCGTTAACCAAGTTAGACTGTATATAAAAGAAGTGGCAGCACTGGCCTCCCGAGACTGGGGGTACAAATAGGTGGCAGACATGATAAAAGTATCCAGTTGTTCTGTGCAATATAAAATTCCCTCATTGCACACTGCTTAAAGGTATAGGTTTATTGTGTTTAATTGTTACCCCCAATCTGATAATTATCTAAAACTAGGAATGGATGGCGAGCGAGAGAACACTATTACTGATTAGCTTTGCTAAAAAATTCCAGTTTGTGAGACTAAAGTATGATTGGTTAAAAAAATGGCACAAGTTCAATTAAAATTTTTTATACTGTATTTGATTTGTCATTTTTATATTTGTAAGCCTACCCCAAGCATCTGGAAATTCTCTGCCACAATTGATGTCATCAACCAATCTATCTCATATCGATGATTTTGAATACATATACAATTCTCTTTACCAAAATGTTTGAAATCTGCCATATCAGTATACACATAACATTCAGAATTAGACCACCAACTTCCTAGAAACGTGTAAACTGAAAAAAACAACAACAGAGATCATGATAGACTTGAAATTCATAGAAATTATAAATAAACAAAAACAATTAAACGTATATGAGAAAGAAATAAAAATGTCAAACTTAAAGAGATTGTAAAGAGGTTCTGTAAATTTTGTATGTGTATCAGGGACACTGATATCATCAATTTACATCATTCTAATTTTCAATCAGATGTCATAATTTATTAGCAGTCTATAACATTGCTGGTAAATATTCAGTTATCATGTAACCACGGGCCCCACCCTAAGAAAATAACACAGGATAGCACATGTTAAAAAAAATTTCTAGGGAGGTCCCATGGTTCCCCACTCACATAGTTGAGCCGCTGAGGTATCAGCAAACTACAGAACGTGAGTTAAAAATATAGTACCAGTACTTACAAGACCAATAACACCAACCAAGATGTACATTTATAATTCTATAAATAGTCTTATTTATCGGCCATATTACACAGGAACATAACATCAATGCGGAGATGATAAACCCTGCTGCTATATAGGTATAGGCTAGGATTATAAACCCTAGTAGAGTTAATCCTAATCTTATCTTCTCTATCACTGCCATCTTCATACAGCTTCAACTCAATTCTGCAACAAATGGAATTTAGGATGAAAAATAGAAATTTAGAGAAATAATCTGAAGAATTAATTTACATCTTTACACAAATTGATCTAACTTCTGAAAAAATGGAATTCGGGATGGAAAGTAAAATACAGAATACATTCAACATAGTTGTATTCTTAACAGAAATGAGATCAAAAATCATTTTTCATTTTAATATTGAAAAACTAGGGGAAGAAATAGCTACAATCTGGCAAAGATATTGTTGTATTATCAGATCTGATTCAAAATACAAACATGACCAGTTTTTTTTTGTACCAGAAGTGTTTTGGTAAAATCTGTAACTTTGTAATATTGTTGTTCCTTGTAAAACCATTTCATGCGTGCTTACTAAAAACATGAACTGACAAGAACTGACCAGGAGACAACTAGAAACAACCAGAATTACCCTAATTAGCTTGCTTAGAATTTATTGCTCGTTTCAGCAAGTAACGATTAAGTACGCATGTCATGGTCGAATCAGAGTTTAGAAATTAAATAGGCCTATATCAAACTCATTCAAAAATTTTAAACATGAAACATCTGCTTCAGTTTGTCAATATTAATTTTTCTCCATTAAAATATGTATGTAACAGCAGGAATAATTATTTAAAACCACTGAATATTATTATTGAAAATTGTATCATCTTTCAGTAGGCTACTTGACAAGATGAATTACAAACTGTTTTATATCATAAACAGATAATCATCTTCACAATGTCAAGCTATTACTCGTTTCATACTTTGATAGTATTGTATTCAAGGAATAAGATGAAGTTTGTAATAACTTGACATTGTGAAGACGGAAGAACTAAGCCGAGATAAATCGGTCCTGTTAAACACACAAGAATATAAGATAAGATTAGTGCTGGGTATCGATTACCAATTTGAGATAGATTATCCACAGCATGCTCCCGATCATTGATCCATTAATAATCAAAATATTTTAATTGCTTAATTTCAATGGCTTATAGTTGTATCATAGAGGGAAGCTTATAAAACGAATATTTATTGCTTTGATCAATTACTGTACTGTATTTAGGACATGGATTAAGATACTAGAAGAGATTGAATGATTAATCTTACCAAAAGAACACTAGGGAAATAAAACATTTATCAATTATGAAATTTGATAAGTGATTATTTTACCTAGTAGTCCTAGACAAGATAAAAAGATAAAAATTATGTCTCAAGTCAACAACAGGTCATATTGTACTGTTACCTTACAATACACATTTATAATATTAATAATCATCCATTAAAAACTTAATATAGATACCAGTTCAAAATAAACAGTCTATGATAAAAATTTACCGTGCTGTAAATCTCTAAATATCGTAAATAAAGAAAGAATAACAAAACTGGAAAAACAACAACACCAACTAAAAGGTCATTAGATACATTTTAAAAGATTTTACACATTTTTGTCACATTTCTCATGTTGTTAGCCAGAAGGAAAAAGACCAAAAACTTTGTAATCTGTACATAAATGAACTGGGTCAAAGTCTGTTTGAACCTAAAACACCGACCTTACAAGTTGTCATTAATTTTACCAAAATTAGCCATAAGATAAATAGCCAATAATTATCATTAAGTTCATTGATGCATTAATTATTAAAGCAATTAAGTCAAAACCTGCTGATCTTTCTTCAAAATTTTTGACCTTCAACCTATTAATATTTACTGCAAATCATCTATTAGACTTTTGGTCTGAAAATTCCCCACTGTAAAATCATGTTTACATAATGGTTTACAGTGGTGAACATTTTCATCAATCTAAAGACTCTCGCTAGATAACTAGTAGTATTTTGTAGTTGATATTTCAATTCATATGAAAATAATTGCAAAATTTCAATTCAGAAAACAGTGTAGTCAGAGAGAGGGTAGGCTCCCAGTCACCAAGCAAGACCGGGCTGAATAGCATAGGTAATTTGCAAAAAGGAAAGAAACAACTCTTTTAGTAGGTTTACAACTAACCTAAAAGGATGCTTTCTTAGATTCTACCAGCTGATCATTGTCATTGGCCAAACCTCTTAGCATTGATCTTTACAAAATTATCCCAGTACCGGTACCCATTTACAGCTGGGTGGTACAGTTGGGTCGATTGGAATTATGAGTGAAGATGACTTATTCAAGGTCTTCGCACTATCACATGCGGACCGAGATAAGAATCCAAAGCCATCATTTGTTAAGTGTAACCAAGCAAATTTGAAATGAGTTAATGACGTAAAGAACCAACACTCTACCCTACCTCAGAAAGATAAAAAGAAATGCAGAATTCGAAATAAAATCTTTACCTGTTTTAGATGCCAATCTTAGAAAACAGTTTTCTTAACAATTTTGTGCGCGTTTAAACTCGAATGCTCCATTCCCCTCGGAGGAAACAACAAAAACAATGTTATGGTTACTCACCACGTCTCAATATGCCGCCATGATTAATTACACTCTTCTTCATCCAGTCTCTCAACTATTTTCACGTAGACATTAAAGTCTGGATAATCAAGTAATAAATACCGGAAGTTGAAATGAAAGTAGCATTCTTGGGTGTGTTCGAAAACAAATCCGGAATATTTGAATACTAAAGACATGCATAGTTAACATATCTAATTATCTTAACCTTTAACTTGCACCTTGTTTTATGATAAATCTTTACTTTGTGACCTAGGACAAGGCCAGTTTTATTAAGAAAGACAACTATATTTTACAAGGATAACAACTTAGATCCTTTCTATCAGCTGGTCCTTGGTCAAACCTCAAGGCATTGATCTTTCCTTGATGATACACATTTATTGAAAATATGTTCTCATCACCATCTGACACCATTATATCTCACAATTGGCATGGCTCCTAAACATCAGCCTCTATTCTATTCTGATAGCTTTCCTGGCTGATTTAAATTGTCCAAATATTTGTTTCAGTCTACATTGGCACTGGCTTGGATGATGAAGGGAGTGCACCATAAATATAAGCCTACATGTCTGTATGGTTATAATGGCCTCGATCTATTCCCAATATTGCAGCACTAGAATAAGGCAAGGGTAGGAATATTGCTAAAATTACTATTTTATATCTTGGAGATAAGGAATTTAGGGGGGAAAGCACTGGCACAGTCATCAGACTTTTCTTTCTACTAATGATTATCTTGTATCTTGATATTAAGGGATGAGAGCCAACACCGGTCCGACTCTCTAAAATACTGGTACAGGCATAAGAATTTTTCTTATCGTGAAAAGGATTTGAACTCGTGTCACCTAAAATTGCCTAGTAGACGACAATCCAACTCACTATCAACTGAACTATTTCACTATCAGTGATTAGGATGTCAATATATTAACAAGCCAATATACTAACAAGCCAATATACTAACACGTCAATATACTAACACGTCAATATACTAACAAGCCAATATACTAACACGTCAATATACTAGCAAGCCAATATACTAACAAGCCAATATACTAACAAGCCAATATACTAACACGTCAATATACTAACAAGCCAATATACTAACAAGCCAATATACTAACATGTCAATATACTTACAAGCCAATATACTAACAAGTCAATGTACTAACAAGTCAATATACTAACAAGCCAATATACTAACACGTCAATATACTAACACGTCAATATACTAACAAGCCAATATACTAACAAGTCATTATAGTAACACGTCAATATACTAACAAGCCAATATACTAACACGTCAATATACTAACAAGCCAATATACTAACACGTCAATATACTGACACGTCAATATACTAACAAGCCAATATACTAACACGTCAATATAGTAACACGTCAATATACTAACACGTCAATATACTAACAAGCCAATATACTAACAAGCCAATATACTAACAAGTCAATATACTTACAAGCCAATATACTAACAAGTCAATATACTAACAAGTCAATATACTAACAAGTCAATATACTAACAAGTCAATAACTAACAAGAAAATATACTAACAAATCAATATACTAACAAATCAATATACTAACAAGCCAATATACTAACAAGTCATGATACTAAAAAGTCAACATACTAGCAAGCCAATATACTAACAAGACAATAACTAACAGATCAATATACTAACAAGTCAATATACTAACAAGTCAATATACTAACAGGTCAATATACTAACAAGTCAACATAGTAGCAAGCCAATATACTAACAAGTCAATATACTAACAAGTCAATATACTAACAAGTCAATAACTAACAAGCCAATATACTAACAAGTCAATATTCTAACAAGTCATGATAGTAACAAGTCAATATTCTTACAAGTCATGATACTAACAAGTAATGATACTAACAAGTCAACATACTAGCAAGCCAATATACTAATAAGTCAATATACTAACAAGTAATTATACTAACAAGTTAATATACTAACAAGCCAATATACTAACAAGTCAATATACTAACAAGCCAATATACTAACACTCGATAACTGACTAGTCAATAACTAACAAGTCGATAACTAACTAGTCCATATACTAACAAGTCCATATACTAACAAGTAACAAGTCAATATACTAACAAGTCAATATACTAACACGTCATTATACTAACAAGTCAATATACTAACAAGTCAATATACTAACAAGTTAATATACTAACACGTCATTATAGTGACAAGTTAATATACTAACAAGTTATTATACTAACAAGTCAATATAGGCCTTTAGCATGAAAATGATTGTAAATTGAAATTACAAAAGCACACACTGAGGAGTAAGAAATTAAACACAAAATTATTTTAGAAATAAATATATTCAAAGCACTGATACTTCAACAATATGTCTCATACAAAAACTATAACAGATCATTCAATAAACAACCATTGGGGACCAGTGATTAGTGTTGTAATTCCTAATACACAGTGTGTTGGAGTACTCAGAGTATTTTAAACTTCCATAAGAAGAAAATCAATCGGGACCAATAAAAGATTTCAGAATACACAGAATATCGGAATACACACATGTTGGATATAACAGAGTTCATTGTAATTCTATTCTAATGTGATAGATAAGTAGACTAACAGACTGCACATTTGGAATGAAGTAGAAGATTTATTTCAAGTTTAGCTACCGTTTGCATTTTTGATGAATAGAGTGCAACTGCCTATAGGGTTCTTAGTTGAAGGGTTTGAAACAGTTCTGTATTGTACGAAAAACAGTAATTGTTTTTCAGAAATTATCACTTCACCATCATCCAGTTTGTTCATTCTCACAAAAATATCTTAAAATATTCACAAATATTTCTCTGGTCTATCTAAACTGTATATTTCTGTAGATGTAATCTGAATTACATCATCTCATTGGCTATTTACACTGTCATGGCGTGTATTGTCGTTGTTTTATATCTTTTCAGTACTGTTAGCTTCATTCATGGTACAATGGATTATTTCTCTATCTCTGCGCTGGTTTTTTTTCTCAAACATGAAGCCATTTTGATTGTTAAGAATACTATTAAGTGACTTTTGAGTTACAAGGGGGTGAGAGCTAACACTTTGCCAACTCTTGAAAACACTGGCACAGGCATCAGAATTTTTATTACCTCGGAAGGATTCGAAACCACGGCACCTAAATCGCCTAGCAGATGACAATCTAAATGTCACAGAGCGAATAGCCACAGCCTTTCAACTTTTCCATTCTCTCTTCTCATTTCAACAAACAAAATATAAACAGAACTCTGTATTGGTGTAGACTGTTTTAATTTCTCTCTCTAAATAAATTTTTCATCATTCCACTAGTTAATATCTTCTAGTGTAGGCTATTCTCTAGGTTAAATTTCCAATATATATATACTATTGTCCTGCTATATTTTATTGTTCTACCCTTTACTGACAACTTAGGGTGATATAAATTAATTTACAAGATTATCATTCTCTCCAAAATCTCCAATTCAAAAACAACAAAAAAACAGGACATTTTTACTTTTTCCTATTCTCCTATTCATTGACTTGCTGTCTTCCATTTTCTCACAAACCATATTCTTTATTTTCTTCCTGTACGGATAAATTTCCAAGATTTTCTTTCTCTCAAAACATAACCACAACTTTTTCACTTTTCTCCTGTCCTGCTAAACTTCGTTGTATTTTTGTAAACTGAGACGAGGCACGATGTTCATGGACTGAAGTTCTTGGAATAACAATTTACAGGCGTACGGCATTTTTAACGTGGACACACTTTTAGACGATTTACAATACTGACACCTGAAATAAGATAAACAGAAAATTATTTTTCAGTCCAATTTTGTGACAATGGATTCCCAAGGTTTCTTTGGTTCTCTAGAATCCTGTCTACCTGATCCTTGGCCATACCGCTTGACGATAATTTTACAAGGATAACAATTAAGGCTCTTATGAGTTCTTATTTCCAGTGGCTGCTCCAGTAGGGATACAGGGTGTACATTACTCAACAATGTTTTTAGAGGTAGACATCAATAGAAAGAGGAATCTAAGGGAAATAACTTACCAGCCAGAATATCCAAGCAGACCACAACTACTACACACATCAACTTGAAATGCATCACTAGATATCATTAACCTTTCTAGTAACAACATACTGAAATACATGTCACTCAGTTAGTGGTCTTTCTGTACATTATTAGGTAAGAGAAAGAGGGGGGGGGGGGTTGGGGATGTTGGGGGGGGAGGCTGGTACAGGCTTGTAGATTTTCAAAAATACATTAATCTGTTTGGATGATAAAAATATGTATCAGTTTCGGTGATTGACCAATCAGATAACAGGGTGATTAAAATCATCTCAAGTTAGGATTTCTGAATAAAGATGAACATTTCTTGCATCATCCAAAAATATCGAAAACTTATTCAGTGATATCCAAACAGTGTTGATGTTATTGTTAATTAATATTTTACCTAGCTCCGTAGCCAATCAAACAATCTCGTTCCATTTCACCCAATCGTAGTCCACCATCTCGAGACCGCCCCTCAGTGGGTTGTCGTGTTAGCACTGCCCTCGGTCCCTTCGCTCTAGCATGCATCTTATCTAACACCATGTGTTTTAGTTTCTGATAGTAAACAGGTCCAAAATATATATACGCTTCACATGCTTCTCTGGAAATATTAACAATAATTTTATAATAAATAAATATTGGATATCATATTGTTTAAAGAGATTGTAAAGACATTTTTTATCTATCTAGTTTTTATATGTATATATGTTGAATTGGAAGCATCTATTTTCAAAAATTCTAAATTTTGTTAAACAAATATTGGTCCTAGAATCTAAATATGATGCTACAATCACAAACTGCAGGAACCACACACATATTGTGGGATATTGGAATCGTGCAGTGTGCCTGAAACATATACAAACACTTGAACTACACTACTAGCACTTAAGACGTATAAACTAAGTTCACAATTTTATTAAATAGACTTTGAATAGATTTTGCTCAGTCACATGAATGGACAAATAATAAATAAATGAATAAATGATGATTAAATGATGAATAAATGAACAAATGATGAATGAATGATGAATGAATGATGAATGAATGATGAATAAATAATGAAGATACAATGATGAATAAATGAATGATGAATGAAGATGAATGATGATGAATAAATGAATGTACGAATGTACGATTATATAAACCTGATGAAAAGTGTACTCTCAGAGAGAAAATGAAGAATGAGATACTGACCCTGTGATACCAGAAGTGACGTAATCTTTTCCTAAATAATTAAAACCATGATCCACTAAAACTTGAGATAAATCAGCAACTTTATCTCCTCCAAATGCTGAAAAATAAACACAAAATTACTCAACCTTCTTCATAAACTAATGAATTTACATTAAAATGGTAAAATAATATATTGCCAATATGAATACAGGTAGTTTAGTAGCTGCTACCAGTGTATAACCAAACTATTACTTTGTATTTCAAGTTTTGTTTTTCAGTTCAAATCGTTAGTATTTGGATTATTATTAAAATAGGCATTCAACAGATATGCAGGCACTTAAAAAGAAAATGTTTCCATGTCATGTAGGAGTATCAAAAATGGGTGTCACTTTACCAGCAGTTTCAACTCTCATTATATTTACTGAGCCAAAGTAACAAAATTAATTTGCAATAAAACTAACCATTGAAAATATGTTCATAGTCTCCTAAGAAAGATAGTTTACCTGTGCCATAATGAAACTTGCCCTCAAGAACACCAGCCTTCCCTCCCAATAGTTCTATTAATTTACCCACAGTCATACGAGACGGGAAACCATGGGGGTTCATTATCTACAATATTAAAACAGGAAGTCTTAGTTACAACATTGTTGATGTCCTGATGAGTATTGTGTATCTGAAACATGCTCATATACCTAAAGGTCCCATATAAGGAAGTTACTGATGAGGATCCGGTATCTGAAACGTACTTCTGCAGCATGTGATGAGCTCTGAGGTCTCGTACTACACTCTTGTGATTACTCTCTCTAATTCAATGGGTTTTCTCAATGGACTATTAACCTACATTTACAAAACTAGCTGTCCTGATGAAGATTGTGTATCTGAAACACATGTTAGCAGAATGAGTTGAACTCTAATGAATTAAAACCAGGTTTCTGGTTATAAATTAATACTTACAATATCTGGACATATTCCCTGAAAAGGTGAAGGTGAAAATAAAGATGGGCAATATTAAACTAAAATAAAGGGGGAAATGTTGAGTGAGGACATCACAAACGCTAACATATAGAATGATGATATCAAAATGGCCATTAGCTTCTGCTTCCTCAACTACTCTTATTAATATTTTGAATCATCCTTCTGCTTGTGTTTATCAGCGAATTGAATGCCTACTCAATAACCTGAAGATGATTCTGAAGATCACGTCTGGCATAGCTCGAGTTGTTGAATGGCGCAGTGAATTAGACGCTTGCTCGCTAACCTGAAAGTCCAGGTTCAGTTCTGCATAGGTTGAGATGATTTTTCAACCTGGTTTCCCCCTGTAAGTGATGCAGGTTGGGGGCCTGAGAAAGCGTCTAGTCATTCGGTTGGGACAATAAACCAACGCCATGTATGCTACAGGATGTGCATGTTAAAGATCCCTGGACAGTTGGAAATTGAAAAAGAGTAGCCTAATGTTGCTGTCCTGACAAAATTTTCCTCATTGGGCATGGCGTTGCCTATCTTCAGGTGTAGAAAAGTAGGATGCAAGTAATTCTGACAAACATCTTTATAGTGAACTAGACATTATTTAATGTTTGATTTTAGGACTTTTAGTTTTAACATATAAAAATATAATCAGTAGTGAACCTACCAGATCTGTAAAAGGCATGTCTTCTTGAGGAATTATCAAACCACAAACACTGGAAATCAAATCCGAAAGATGATAAAATATCTTTATAAATAATAAACTCAGTATTTATAATACCATCAATATACACAACCTGGGCTGGCTAATTTCAAATAATGGTATGATAACTAGACATAATTCAAATTGTGCGTCTGACATTTTTTTTCCTTTATGAAAGTAAGAACTTGACAATTCAAACATGATTTGATTATGAGGTAAAATGCAAAAGTAAATGTTACTCCCTTCTAAATAAAGTGAAACGATGTCCTACATTACACCGAGGAGTGGGAAAACAATAAAATATGAAAAGAATGGAATGCTACCATTGCTACGTACCCTTTCTGTCCATGACGACTGCTAAATTTATCTCCAATTTCTGGTCGACGAGTTTGTCTCATTAATATTTTAATTAGGAAAGCCTCGTCAGGGTTGGAGGTAATTAAAACTTGTTCACAATATCCAGACATTGCACCTCGATATCTGTAATAAGAATTGAAGGAATTTAACATAGTGTTAACGCCATTATAACACCAATATACCACACCATTATATTACATGATATCTATTAGTCAAACATGTTTACAGGTATGACGCTAGTTCACGACTGACTCCAGTAGGTACATATCTGTATAATTACGCATGAGCACTTACATATATCACATTGACACATACTATCTGCAGAGTGCAATAAGGGATATGAGCATTAACTTCAGCATTAGGCCACTCGTTTAATGTGAACCATACTCAATAATAGAATTCTAGAAACAATAAGGATAGCCCAATCATTACGTGCCTAATTTACTTTACTCTTGTGGAGAAGAAATGCGTGTAAATTTGGTCAGTGTTGGTCTGATTATTAGGCTATACTCTATTTTTCTGCAAGTAGCCAGAAGATAGTGATAGCACCATTGTGGGCTAATCAGAACTAGGATATTATTATCATACTTTTCTACAGTTGATAGATTTTTACCGTTGACAACCTAGAACAGGAGTCCTGACAACTGATGTTTTTCTCTTTCAAAACGAAAGATTAACGACCAAAATAATTACATAACACAACTTTCACAGTAACGACTAAACATTATGTTCTTTTTGACATCCTGTTTTTCTGTGACTTATTAGAGTTATACCACATGGGGCATCAGTCTGAAATAAACTTACGTTAGTGGTGTTTCTTTATAATTAACTGACTGTAAATTAACAGGTGCCCCAGCAACAGGATTACTAACAACTGGCATGTGTTTATTGACTAAAACCTGACGATTTTCAACACGTTCACCTTTAAAATACAACTTACTGTTGAAATAGTTATTAACACAGGCATCACATTTTACAAGCTTGCTATATAAAATCATGGAATCCTATCTTTCCCAAAAGTTTGTTTTACTGGTTGATCGAACAGTAAATTCACTTGTAAGGAGATTGAATAAAGTACTAAAGGTAGTAAAACTATTGAAATGATGTCGTTGATCTGCTATATTTTACAGGTAAATATCCAGAATATATATTTGACAGAAAGTTAAATGCTTGTATGTTAATAAGTTATAATAATAAAGTCTTTGAATGGTATTTAGCAATTGTGAGTACGATATATAGACACAGCTTTATGGAACAACAATCACTGGTTAAAGTTTCATACAAAGTTTCGAAGTGTTTCCCCCCCGTCGTCCTCAGACACATAATGTGTTGTTTCATAAAGCTGTGTCTATATAATAATAATGTTTTAATATTCTGTATATATACACACAAAATCAATAGAATGTGAGCCTTTCAAATATAAATATGGAAAATAAAATAAAATGATGAGTTTTACGTCCTACTTTTCTGCAACTTATTGGCTAATGAAGACAGAGAATATTGAAAATGATGTTACCAGGCATACAGATACCGTCCACGTCTAATAGTTGATGTTTCCACGGAGGTTTATTAGTGGTAGAATCAATCAGTGGTCCCATCACTTTATCAAACGTCTGATTAGTGTAACGTTTCATCGTCACCGCGTGTTTACGATAAACTAAACATCGACCAAATCCTGAAAAAATACATAAAAATATATTAATTAAGGAAACAGGCAACATAATTCTATGATATACTACTCATGCAATGTTTCAACAATTTACATTGTCATCTAGGGATTAATCTAAGCAGTATCACATTTCAGTTTGCAGGTTAAAATGGCCTCTTATGCAATCCAATTATCCCTAAGGGTATCAAAAAATTTAACTTTTTCATGACATTCTCTGAATCATATAAAATATTTTTTGCGAAAATTGATTGCCAAATCCAGAAATATACAGCAACTCTTGAGCCTTTAGGAACTAATATCATTGGCAAAACTGACCCCATGGGGGACTGCTGACTACTGAGTGGGCTGACCTACCTCTATCTAAGGAAGCTTTGTTTATAACCAGGGCATCTTCTATATCATAACCACTATAACTCATAACAGCTACTGTTGCATTCTGTCCAGCTGGGAGCTTATCAAAACTGATCAACTCTATAACCTAAAATATCAAATTATCCTTTTTATTGAGTCACTTATAGCAGAACTGTCTGTAATCTTACCATAAAGTCTAGCGCATAAAAACTCTAACACTTTTATGGTGATAACAATTTTTGACATCTGGCGGGAAAGCTTTAATAGGTCTGTAATAGTTCATACAGACTCCTTCTGTCATTCCACCTCAGAATACATTTTAAAAGTTAGGAATAGTGAAGACTTAGTGTGTCCAGTGAGGCGAACAGACTAATCATGTCTACATGTGTCCCAACACGAGACTCGTATTTTTGCCTCTTGTATATTCTACAGTATCAGTAGTGATTCACCATACACATATGTCCTACTTTCCTGCACCTAATTGGGCTAATGAAGACGGGCAACGTCATGCAGGGTGCAATGAGGAGAGCGGCATTAGCCTACTCTTTTTTTAATTTCCAACTGTCAAGGGATCATGAGTATGCACAGACTGAAGCCCATGGCGCCTCAGTTTATTGTCCCATTTGAACGACTAGATGCCATTCCCATGTCAGCCCCGCCGACCTGCATCACTGACAGGGGGTCATATATACCAACCTGTTTATACAACAATATCACCAAAACATGGTTAGTACTAGTATAGTATATGTAGTTACCTACCTTAGATTTAACGAGAGGAGCTTGAGGATAGGCCAGTAAATACATCAACGTATCTATTCTATTTCTCTGATTATACGCTATCGTACCTACAATATAACACAACAAATAATATAACCATTTAAACAACATTGACAAGCTGAGAGTACACATATAACAATAATAATACAAGGGAATATATTATAGTATAACACACTTCTTTAATAACAAAGTGCCGTACAAAACGTTTCAACACAATTTACACGTGTTGTCATTAGATGATTTAAGAAAGAAATGGTGTGTGTATTTACCTTTCTTTATCATTACTAGAATAGAGTTTGCCAGTTTCCAGTCATAAAATAAGAATAATATGAGATTGATTGTAACAAGATAAATTAAACACAGTACATACCCATTGCCTGTTTCCCCATAGCACATTGATATGTATTACGGGGTGACTGATTATGATGGGGGTAGGGAATCAGCCCTGCACACACTCCTAATATAGTAAAGGGTTCTATTTCCAGATGAGTTGTATCTGCAGTTATCTCCCTTTCATATAATGAGACCATACAATCATTCTCTTCGTTTACGTCGAGATATTCTACCAGGCCCTCTTTCAGAAAGTCTTCAAAACTCCTGAAACAATTTATCCATTTCACTGAAAATACTGACATAAAGTAATATTGTGGTCTTATAATATCAAGTCAGAATCAAGAGTTATCTCCCTTCCATATAACGAAATGAAATGAAATGGAGTTTTACGTCCTACTTTTCTGCACCATGTGGGCTAATGAAGACGGGCAATGCCATGCGAGGTGCAATGAGGGAAATTTTTTGCCAGGACAGCGGCATTAGCCTGCTCTTTTTCGATTTCCAACTGTCGAGGGATCTTTAACGTGCACAGCCTGTAGCACACGGGGCCTCGGTTTATTGTCCCATCTGAACGACTAGACGATTCTTCCATGTCAGTCCCTCGTACCTGCATCACTGACAGGGGGAAACTGGGTTGAAAAATCCGAAGGTATTATCTCGACCTATGCCGGGATTGAACCCTGGATCTTCAGGTTAGCGAGCAAGCGTCTAACTCACTGAGCCACCGCGGCTCCCCTTTCATATAACGAGACCAAACTGTTCATTTACATCAAGATATTCTACCAACCCTTTGAGTGTAAATAAAATAAAATGTCATATACCCTGAACTTCAAAGTTGCATGACGTCACTTAGCAACGGCTGGTATACCGACTGCTAGGGTATCTATTACAGTAAGAGAGGGTCAAAGTGGAACAGGAGGCAATGTTTTCAATGTTGAAGTTAAGGGGTCCATGTGATCAAAGATGGGCTATATCTCTAGAACTATTATTAAATGATAATAAACTAAAATAAAAACTGAAAGTTAAATACCTAAAACCCTGAGTTAACTCTTCAATATGTTTAGATTTAACCAGTGGTTGTTGATTATTTACTATTATATACGGTCTGAAAATAAACAATAAACAATACAATAATCAATACAATAAATAAACAATAAACAAACAATAACCATTCTTTGTTAGATTTAATAAATCTTGACATCTATAAGGTCTTAATGAAATAAGCAGATAGCACTCGGTAAAATATTCGATTTTCGTTGCTAAGAATTCATGATTTGGATTAGCGATTATCAAATTTCATAATCAATTATATGTCAAAGTTAGATTTTCGCCACTGTATCCGTTAACAAGTAGTAATCTCTTCCACATAGTTTCCCTTCAACACATTGTGTACCACATGAATTCACTTTTTATATTTTGGACTGAATAAATTTAAGAGAAGTTGTATGGATGAATCTATGCAGGTAATTATATTGATGTACAAATGGAAGAAAAAAATTATTTTCTTACCGACAGACTCTACCCCCATCACTAGCGATATAAACACAACGATGACCATGATTGGGGAAGATTGAAACGAACTCTGAAATATACCCAGCTCGTCTCATCATTCTAAATGTTTTCACCAATCTTTTATAGTCTCTTATAACTCCTAGAATATTACCTAGAAAAATATACATTATAAACAGTTAGAAACAATATTCCTAGAATATTACCTAGAAAAATATACAGAAGTTTGAGAACAATATTCCTAGAATATTACCTAGAAAAATATACAGAACTTTGAGAACAATATTCCTAGAATATTACCTAGAAAAATATACAGAAGTTTAGAACAATATTCCTAGAATATTACCTAGAAAAATATACAGAAGTTTAGAACAATATTCCTAGAATATTACCTAGAAAAATATAAAGAAGTTTAGAACCATATTCCTAGAATATTACCTTGAAAAATATACAGAAGTTTAGAACAATATGCCTAGAATATTACCTAGAAAAATATACAGAAGTATAGAACCTAATTCTAGAATATTACCTAGAAAAATATACAGAAGTTTAGAACAATATTCCTAGAATATTACCTATAAAAATATACAGAAGTTTAGAACAATATGCCTAGAATATTACCTATAAAAATATACAGAAGTTTAGAACAATATTCCTAGAATATTACCTAGAAAAATATACAGAAGTTTAGAAAAATATACAGAAGTTTAGAACAATATGCCTAGAATATTACCTAGAAAAATATACAGAAGTATAGAACCTAATTCTAGAATATTACCTTGAAAAATATACAGAAGTATAGAACCTAATTCTAGAATATTACCTAGAAAAATATACAGAAGTTTAGAACAATATTCCTAAAGAATTGGAGGACACCCTTGAGTTGGGTTTTAACTTTTTAACAAAAGATTTTTATATGTTTTTGCCCCAAAATATGTGTCAGAATGCATAATTCAATTTAATTTTTCGAAAATTGGGAAAACCCATTAGAGACTGCAATAAGACCTCAACAGAGTTGCCGCATTTTAAATTTCAGTGTCGACTGTTGTCCCCCCTTGAGTCAGTCTGCTCCCTATTTGTTGCCCCTTGGGAAGCTGGAGCCACCACTGAAAATACCATACTTACTAAAAACTTGATCATAAGATTTTCGTGGGACAGGGCCCTTGAAGATAGTTAGAGAGCCTAAATACAGGTACAGATCAGATCAGAATTTCACTTGCGTTTCGGCATTGAATCCAAGCAATTCTGAAAAACTCATTCACCAACAGAACACTAACTTAAAGATACTTTTTAAAGGAGAAATAATAAATTCCTACCATTAAGAAAGACAGTGTAGACATATTTTGATGTTAATTCTTCTCCACTTAATAATTCTATATCTTCTACTCCGAGATTAAACGCCAGACGAATCAATGGAGCTTCGTTCATATCAGTTGTAATATGGGTCATTAACGCCAGATTCTTCACTAGACCACACGCCTGTTATAGATTGAAATAAATGGAGTTTTAATGGGTTAATGAAGACAGACACCATGCAATGAGCAATGAGGGAGATTAGTTTACTCTTTTTCAATTTTCAAAACTGACATGGAATTTTTAAAGTGGAAGACCTCTAACACAGACGTTCTCAGATTGTTGGCCCAGGGAGTATTTAAAGTGGTTTGCGAAATTAATTTCTCTAAATCCAGCAGAATTTCTCACTTATTGTTTGAGGAAATTAAAAGTTTTTTGAATTTTTTCGGTATCTTTGAAGAGAATTGGAATATCAGCCTCAAAATAGTACTGTTAGTCTTAGAATGTCTTTGTGTTGATAAAAATATAATCTTTTGTAAGTTTACATTGAAAAGAAACTCATTTCTCTCCTAGAAATTTCAACCCAAAAAAGTCCTCTGTATAAACAAATTTTGAAGACATAATGTGTGATTATGTTTATATTTTTATCAAAGCAAAGACATTTAAAGACTAACAGTACTATTTGGGAACTGATATTCCACTTCTCATAAAAATAATAGAAAAAAATTCAAAAAACTTTTTACTTTGCTCAGACAATAGGTGAAATATCTTTCTTACTAAAAGTAGCTAATAAAACATATTTCATTCTAATGACAATTCTTTACATTCATTTGTCAATTATTTTGTTTTCTTTGTCCACATTGTGGTTATTTTTGTCCACGTGAGCTGACTTTTTGACAGGACCATATCATCTTGGCAATACTACTATACAGTAAAAACACTTACCTCCCCTTCAGGTGTATCAGAGGGACAGAGTAAACCCCACTGTGAAGGTTGAAGAGATCGGGGACCGCTAACTTTTCGTGTCTTCTCAAACTGACTGGTTACTCTGGTCATCATCCCGATAGCTGAGATATACGACAGACGAGACAAGACCTGGGTCACTCCAGCTCTCTCCATTTTAAATCTTTTAATCGTCCAGTTTCCCTAAAAAATACAGAAATAGTTTTGGTTACAGAATCAATAATGTAAGAAATTTGAAAATGTTTAAAAGAAAGAAACAACTATATTCTGCAACGGCTTATTTTCTCAAGAATCTTTTCTACCAACTAATCTTTCCCATATCATCATTTACCATATAACCAGTTGGTCTTGGAAAACTGGGGAAGAAAAACAATTAATTTTTAACAAGGGCAAAGTTTCTCAATGGTTCTGTCTTCCAGCTGGTCCCTGGCCAATCTTCTAGTCAACAATTTTACAAAGATAACAACTTAGATTTACAATGATCCTGTCTACCATCACAAGAAAACAACGGCCTCATATGAATTATAATAGGAAACTTCAAATTTGATGTTTAAACGATTCCTTGGTGGCCAGGTAGATTTATAGAAACTATATAAAGGGTTTAGATATAGTTTCACGCATAATTAGCGTAATTCTTCGCGTTGAAAATAAACCCATTTAGCCCTTTAAAAAGTTACCAACTTACACTAGAAATAGCGAAGACTAGTCCGTTAGTAATCTGATCTTGTCTCATATGTTTTAGAATATCAAACTGGGCAGCTCGTGGTTTGGGTATTGTTTGATCTGCTATCTTCTTTAACTGTAAACAATATGAATTCATCAATTTATATATTGTTATTGTTGTTTATTTATCACTAATCTTAGAGAGTTATAGATATCAGTTTTTACTGTATATACAGTGGAGGCGCGTTTATCCCGTTGCTGATAATCCGGAAACCCCGATATCAGCACTCTTTTTACTGGGAACAGAATATTTACTATGTAAAATTACCGGTTAATCCGGTGCCCTAGTTATGGAATGGCATGTTTCAACAATCTGGATTTTCGTTAACCCGCACCATTTTATCGGGAACGGGAATGTGCCGATAAAAGAGGCTCCACTGTATACTTGTTCTGTTTTCTATCAATAATCCAACTACCAACTACTACGACTACCTAACTTATCATCTGCCAACCAACCTTTTCTATCATTTTGATGAAATTGAAATGTTGCAGAAATAAAAGAAAGGAAAAGTAGATCCTTAATAGTGTTCTTATTTATTTAATATCAATTTATATTCAGCCTCAATTCCCATAGCATTATTTTAAAATGTCAAGGGCAATAACTCTTCAAACTATATTTAGCAAGCTCAACTTAAAAGTTGGTTACGTTTTTCTAATTAATTAGTTTATTTTCAATTTCATTATTAATATCCTTTTCAAATTTTGCATTGCCGTCAAGTTTACATTCATGAAGTCAGCCTTAATCTGAGGTTTCTTCTGAATTTAGAAGAAGATCGTAAGACACTAGAATATATTCACTGCCTTATCTTACCTCAGAGTTAAATTTCTTGAAGAGATCTTCAAAAAGGAGGGAGAGAAGTTGCCCAGCTAACTCGAGACGTTTGTTACCATAGTAATCACGGTCATCAATGCTGACCTTGTCACCTTGTGTTAAAATAACTCGTCGAATCATCAATGCTAGATACACCGCCTTCAGTTTAAAATTCCAATCTTCTACCTTTAAATAAACAAAAAATATTCTTGATCAGGACAGACTTGGACACAGGGCTAAACTACAGATACAGTAGAGTCTTTACTGAAGTGGTATTTGTTGAGAGGTAGAAAGAGTTTAAAATATGCATTAATGATGGATAAATATGAAAGAATGATATATGAACTAGTATACTATATTAAGTATAGAAATATGAAAGAATGATATATGACCTAGATAAGAACGTACCGGTACGTGAGCCAATATAACAGTATTTAATACATCTCTAGCTTCATCAAGTTTACATTTATTAGCACTCGGCCATTGATTTCTCTGACGTATTTTACCTCCTATCCATCTTAAAGCCTGAAAATAAAATCTTTTGTACAGAGGTTTCATAAACTTTTTTATGTGTATCAGGGAAAATGATCAATTTGCATCATTCTAATTAACAATCAGTCGTCTGAAACTATGGGTTTAATGACATCATTATTGCAAAATTTGCTTAAACCATAAATAGCCTGTTGCCATAGTGATGTCATAAAACACTTGGAATTGCAAAATCCGAAATTGAAATGGTGAAATTTGATGCTATCAAAGTCCCTGATACACATAACAAGTTTAGAAGACGTCTTCACAATCACTATAAATACAGAGATAGATTAACATTGACCCTTGGACAATTTTCATTATGCCAAACACAATTAGATACAAACATTTTGGAGGAAGTATGACTTAATCAAATTCACCAGACTTTCAATGCTGACTGAGATTAAAAGCCTTGACCACCATTTGTTTGACATTATCAAGCGACTTAAGATTATATCCAGGTCATCTATTAAATTGATTATTATTTCAATGTGTGTTTTGGTTGTTTTGTCAGAATGGAAGACAGGTCTATCAGTGGGTACTCGAGATCCTATCTTGATGTGCATCGGTAATGGATGGCCTAATTTTCTCCCCTTTTGTAATAAAGATATCATTATTATTAGTATTATTATGTCAGTGACATATCTCTGCCTATGCCAGGATTGAACCGCAGGCCTTCAGGTCAGTGAGCAAGCATCTAACACACTAGCCAGTTCTGTTCCCATCCAATATTACAAGTGAAGGATAATGTTGTTACTAACCTGAGCTTGAGTGAAAACTTGAGCACGATAACATTCCTCCAGGCAGGGAGCTACACACGCCATCACTTCCTCTTCACTACCAATCAGCTGTACTATCTCCTGATCACATTCGATACCCATCGCTTTAAACGCTATAGCTACTGGTATATTCTGGATAATTATATAAGAAATTAAAGTGATGAATCCATGCTTAGTGATATGACATGCCACAATAGATGTATCTACAAAGTCCTGTATTGGTATTTTACACATAATAACTACTGAAATATTCTGGCTCATAAAGTAAAAAATATTCTATTGTAGATACTATGGGATTACAATGCCTTTAGCCTTTAGACTTGAGTTAAATTCAGCAAGTAGTCCGTAATAAATATGGAAAGTTCAATGATAAATGGCTGAAAAAATACACAAAAAATATTAAGAAAACAGCAACTTACCTCTGAGAAGATATTATGTTTGAGATAATATTTAGAATGTTTTACTATAACATACGTTTTACTTTTTCTTTCATGAGTTGAACTGAAATATACAGGAATTATTGAAGTATTTAGACCGAGGGATTAGAGTATAAAAACATATCAATAGTAGTTCATGGAGGACAACTAGGAAATCCACGGACTGGTTGTAAGAAACATTGTAACATAAAGATAAGATCATCAGCTGTACTAAATATTAGACAAGTTGGATTACTGTTGTATTGCCTCCATTTTTATCTTTTAAAGCGAATGAAAAGAGGTTTCTGACTTGTTTAAGATATAATATAATTGGGAAGAAGTATATTATGTAAAACATACCTAGTAACAGAACATTCTATAGAACCCTTACTATCTTGATCTACAATCATTCTATTTTTAGACAGTTGTTCCTGAATTAATATCACCTTCTCGGCTCCGCGAGTTATAAAATAACCACCAGGATCCATCGGACATTCGTTAAGTTTCGCCATTTCTGCTGGACTCTTATTGGTTAAAACACAGTTTGAGCTGCGTAACATTATTGGCATTCTATAATTGATGAAACAAAATTAGAAATATGTTTCTGGAAAGGAATAGATTTAATTAGAAATCTATCAAAATGAAAAACTTGTCAGATTACAATGTATCATTCCATTTATTTGTGTACTCAACATTTATGTTGTTCAAAGAAACCCCCCTCCCAAACAGCCCAACTATTTATCATGTTAGCTGTCTTACAGAACAACAGCCAAACTATTTATCATGTTAGCTGTCTTACAGAACAACAGTCAAACTATGTATCATATTTGCTGTCTTACAGAACAACAGCCAAACTATTTATCATATTAGCTGTCTTACAGAACAACAGCCAAACTATTTATCATGTTAGCTGTCTTACAGAACAACAGCCAAATTATGTATCATATTAGCTGTCTTCCAGAACAACAGCCAAACTATGTATCATATTAGCTGTCTTACAGAACAACAGCCAAACTATGTATCATATCAGCTGTCTTACAGAACAACAGCCAAACTATGTATCATATTAGCTGTCGATCAGAACAACAGCCAAAATATTTGTCATATTAGCTGTCTTTCAGTACAACAACCAAACTATTTATCATATTAGCTGTCTTTCAGTACAACAACCAAACTATTTATCATAGTCGCTGTCTTTCAGAACAACAGCCAAACTATTTATCATATTAGCTGTCTTTCAGAACAACAGCCAAACTATTTATCATATTAGCTGTCTTTCAGAACAACAGCCAAACTACTTATCATATTAGCTGTCTTTCAGAACAACAGCCAAACTATTGATCATATTAGCTGTCTTTCAGAACAACAGCCAAACTATTTATCATATTAGCTGTCTTTCAGAACAACAGCCAACTATTTATCATATTAGCTGTCTTTCAGAACAACAGCCAAACTATTTATCATGTTAGCTGTCTTTCAGAACAACTGCCCAACTATTTATCATATTAGCTGTCTTTCAGAACAACAGCCAAACTACTTATCATATTAGCTGTCTTACAGAACAACAGCCAAACTATTTATCATATAAGCTGTCTTTCAGAACAACAGCCAACTATTTATCATATTAGCTGTCTTTCAGAACAACAGTCCAACTATTTATCATATTCGCTGTCTTTCAGAACAACAGCCAAACTACTTATCATATAAGCTGTCTTTCAGAACAACAGCCAAACTATTTATCATATTAGCTGACTTTCAGAAAAACAGCCAAACTATTTATCATATTAGCTGTCTTTCAGAACAACAGCCAAACTATTTATCATATTCGCTGTCTTTCAGAACAACAGCCAAACTATTTATCATATTAGCTGTCTTTCAGAACAACAGCCAAACTATTTATCATATTAGCTGTCTTCAGAACAACAGCCAAACTATTTATCATATTAGCTGTTTTACAGAACAACAGCCAAACTACTTATCATATTAGCTGTCTTTCAGAACAACAGCCAACTATTTATCATATTAGCTGTCTTTCAGAACAACAGCCAAACTATTTATCATATTAGCTGTCTTTCAGAACAACAGCCCAACTATTTATCATATTAGCTGTCTTACAGAACAACAGCCCAACTATTTATCATATTAGCTGTCTTACAGAACAACAGCCAAACTATTTATCATATTAGCTGTCTTACAGAACAACAGCCAAACTATTTATCATATTAGCTGTCTTACAGAACAACAGCCAACTATTTATCATATTAGCTGTCTTACAGAACAACAGCCAAACTATTTATCATATTAGCTGTCTTACAGAACAACAGCCAAACTATGTATCATATTAGCTGTCTTTCAGAACAACAGCCAAAATATTTATCATATTAGCTGTCTTTAAGAACGAAAGCCAAACTATTTATTATATTAGCAGTCTTACAGAACAGCAGCCAAACTATTTATTATATCAGCTGTCTTTCAGAACAACAGCCAAACTATTTATCATATTAGCTGTCTTTCAGAACAACTGCCAAACTATTTATCATATTAGCTGTCTTACAGAACAACAGCCAAACTATTTATCATATTAGCTGTCTTTAAGAACGAAAGCCAAACTATTTATTATATTAGCTGTCTTTCATAACAACAGCCAAACTATTTATCATATTAGCTGTCTTTCAGAACAACAGCCAAACTATTTATTATATTAGCTGTCTTTCAGAACAACAGCCCAACTATTTATCATATTAGCTGTCTTACAGAACAACTGCCCAACTATTTATTATATTAGCTGTCATACAGAACAACAGTTCAACTATTTATCATATTAGCTGTCTTACAGAACAACAGCCAAACTATTTATTATATTAGCTGTCTTTCAGAACAACAGCCAAACTATTTATCATATTAGCTGTCTTACAGAACAACAGCCAAACTATTTATTATATTAGCTGTCTTACAAAACAACAGCCAAACTATTTATCATATTAGCTGTCTTTCAGAACAACAGCCAAACTATTTATCATATTAGCTGTCTTTCAGAACAACAGCCAAACTATTTATCATATTAGCTGTCTTACAGAACAACAGCCAAACTATTTATTATATTATCTGTCTTACAGAACAACAGC